AAAACAAACGAAAAAGCGCGGAATGGTTCCATCAAAGAATTGGTGTCCAAAGAATTGGTGAGCAAACTGATTATCTTCTTTCAGGTTCAAGTGACATTTGAGGGAGTCAGAGGGAGGTCTTGGTCAGGAGATATAGCTATTGATGACGTAACCATAGCGAAAGGAGGTTGTTTCGCCCCACCCACTCCCGCTCCACCCACTCCTCCTCCGCCTCCAGGTACCTTTCATTTTAAGATAACTGAATCACAATGCGTAATTTTAACCGACCTCCGTATAAAAATATTACATGGATACTGCATCTAAATGACCTGGATTTTATTTGTGTGTTTTTCTCATTCTGCAGTTATCACCTGAATCGGTTTCAATTTTGTTCAATATTTTTCTGCGCGTTGCATGTGATCTCCGCAAGGTGAAGTTGCATTCAGCCTTGCAATAACCAGCTACATACTTTACTGCTGAGTGAAGTCAATAATTAACAACAAAACCAAACCCAAGCATTTGAAAGGCAGTTGATGCGCGTCACAACAAATCGAATTTATTTGTCATAATTTGATCAAGAAACAAGCATCCATCCTAGCTGATATTGAACTGCTGTCCGTTTGTTTGTTGTCTAGCCGGTAATTGTGGATCCCGACCAAGTGTTCGAATCGTTGGTGGCACAGTAGCACCCAGAAACAGCTGGCCTTGGCAAGTAATGCTGCTGACCACATCCAATCAGCAGTTTTGTGGAGGCTCATTGATTGACCCTTTGTGGGTGGTAACAGCAGCGCATTGTGTTACTCGGAAATCGCCCCGTAGTGTTAGAGTTAGGTTAGTATTCGTTGCTCAAGAACTGTAGCGAAATTATTCTTTAGAACAGCAAACTTATCGTCCATACAAAATCAGACAATTGTGCTAATTCAACTCGCTCTGAAATGGGTTGAGTTGTTTGTGTCACTCCTATGCAAGATTTCATTTAGATGTGAGTCTTGATGTGAACTCAGCGAGATAGTGAAAAAAAAACATAGAAAAAATAATTATTTCAAATACATGCTTCTGATAACGACTTGGCAGATCAAAAAAAGGTTTTTCTATTTTGCGTCTAG